TTCTAGAATTCTAAGAGTTGGAGGCATAATAATTATAATTTAATGTTGTTTTTATTGTTGGAAAAACAGAGGGAATTATGAACAAGCAAATATGCTCTCACAATCAAATATATCTCAATGTAACCTGTATAAGGAAAAAGTCTGAAACAATTGTGGAATTTTTCCAAAAGATTCAACATTATGCTACTGTAAAGGTCTGTATGAAGTAATTATGAAACAGTAGCTATACCAAGATTTCCAGTGACATAAAGGCCAAAAGAGAAGTTTCACAGATACTGTTTCAGATTTCCAGTGATTGCTTGTCACTTGAGAGTAACAAAAGGAGGATATTTTTTTAAAGTTATCATTAATTCTCACACTTTTACTTGTACTTTTACTTCAAATGGGAGGTATTATAGTGGCACATTAACATGACTTAACATCTAAAAACACCACAGTAAAATTTTTGATGCAATGTAATGTTGAACATGTTTTATTTTTTATGAAATATTTTGAATTATCTTTAATGAGAGAATTAAATAAAACACTGGGTATTAAATAAATCCAGGAAGAAACATACTTGAACCTTTTCGTACTTGCACCTTTTCATACAAAGCTTAGCATGCTAATATTTTTTTAACAAATCTTTATTGTATCCTTTCCATGGATTAATAATATATTTCCACCCCAACTTTTTTCCAAGATATGACTCAATACTGGCACATTTAAGATTTCTAGGTGGTTTTCTATTTTGGTACTAATCAGACCAGCATAGAAATATTTATAATAATCAGATTTGATGCACTAAGCATGCATCTCCAGCAGGGGTAAAATCTACTTACCTTTCGGAAGTGCACGCGTCACAGGCACGCGCAGATCTTCTGCGCATGCACAAAAAACACATTACTTCCTGGTTACAACCAGGAAGTAATGACACCTGGCCGGGTGGGCAGAGCTATGCTCCGTCGTTGGTACGTTGATACTGGATCGCCAAACCACCGGCCAAGATCGCTACCGGATTGGGTGATCCGCTCCGATCTGGGAGTATTTCACCCCTGATCTCCAGTAACTAGTTAATACTAATTACATGGACCTAATCAGTATCATATCCTAAATAGATTTCTATTTATATTAGGAGAGAAAATAGGAGTCAATGGGAAGGTAACTCTCCCAACATTATATTTAAACTCTTAACTTAATACTTCTGGATCATAGCTTGTAATTATTCCTGTGACTCAAGTTACTTTGTCTGAAGTAAGAATGAAAATTCAGCAATTCATTCCTTAAGCTTTAAAAAATATTAGATGTTATTCTGCAATTGAGTTTTAAAAAATATGAACTTATTTAGGTTGTACAAAGCCTGACCAAAGCAGTCTGCAGCACATCTGTAACACAAAAACCATTACTTACTGTAGATTAGAGTGTGACAAATCAAATACAAGTGTTTCAAATTTTGGTTTCTTTCTTCCCTCGTTTTTATAACTATAGCATGATTTTTTTAAAAAAAAATAGTTCCACATTTGACATACTTTAATAATTTTTCCTTTCCAAATATTTCAAAAGGAAAATGGCAGAATGCAACTATTGTCAGCAACTAGTCATGTCAACAATCCCAGGATTTGCAATCTAAACTTAAGCATGGACCTGCCAATTTAAAATCTACCATTTCCTGGAAATATATCATAGTTCTATTTAAAGGAATATTAACACCATAATATGTTTAAGTCCTAACAGATCTGACAAAAGCAGCTTGGGAGGGCTGTTGTAAAGATAACAATAATTCAAAAAGCCAAGCCTGGGTTGAATCTTCATTATCTTAAATCAATTGACCAAACTGATGATTTATTAGACTGAGAAATCACTCAGGTAAGAATGGCTGCTCCTGGGTATACTTTTCATTACCTTTATCAAGAACTCAGAGGAAATCCATAAGTCACTCTGACCAGTGGGCTGTCCCAAATGACATTGAAAATCTCATTACATTACCGTAAAATGTATCTTGCAGCCTTGAGAGCTGTTTTTCATTCATGATAATACACACACTAGACTTTAGATTAATAGAGGCCAGAAAGAGCAAAGCAGCAGCAACAGCATTTTAAGCCATTTCTCCCCAAAGAAAACAAACTTAATATTTGAAACAGGTATTTTCATCTCTGTTAATTTACAAGTAGATAAAAAAAAAATCCTGCAAAACGGTTGTTTACACGGGGTGACTAGATGACCTCCAAGATCCCTTCCAACTCTGTTACTGTTAAGCACTTACTGCAAAGTTAATCAGAAAATATAATAATACCTTCCTGGATATATCTAAAGGAATTCAAGAATATTATTTTTTATTAAATCAATTTAATCATATTTTCCTTTAAAAAACCTAGAATAATGTAACAAATACAACTTAGAATATATCTTTAAGTAGGAGGAGAAACATTTTTTTTCTTTTTGTTTCACTTCCTGTGATAAGAATTGCTTTTGAAATCAACTCTCATTTAGTTCATACCAGCGTGGAATACTTAATTTTTCAAATTTAAGGTTAATAAACAAGGAAATGTGAAACGGGATTCATGATTTGTAACGCTATTTTTAAACTCAAACAGGTTCTGATCATTCTTATATGAATTGAAAAGTTAATTCACTGGTAAAATGTCACATATAAATCCAAAGGCAGAAAAGTATGTAAATAATATTTATTTATTTATTTATTTATTTATTTATTTATTTATTTATTTATTTTGTATACCGTCCTTCTCCCAGGCATGTAAATAATATGCCTAAGACATACTATGCTGAAAATTTATAAACAGTTTCTATTGTTTTTACTATCTGTAAACTATTCACGGTCAATATCAACACATCTCTATATTTAAATATGTCTTTTAAAATAAACATTTTATAAAAAACTGTGGGGCAGACAACATTGATATTTTCTGCACTGAAGCATGAAAAAATCTATTTCACAGAAAACATTTTAAATCAGTAGTTAATGCTTTCCTGCTCCCATAAAAGTAAATAATGTTGAATTAATATTTTATTATCTTGGAAGAAGAAATACAGTGGTAAATGAAAGAAATAGATTAGAATCATAAGTCTTTGCACACAAAAAATAAATGGAAGTATCAATGAATAGGGTGATACAGACCACTGGATATACAACTATTGCACTAGAGTCTTTGGGTGATGGCACATATACTTTTAATTCTTTACAGCTATATTGCAAACTTGAAAACTATTTTAAACTTAGTCTAGTAAAATTGAAAAAGTGGCCCTATGACTGTTAATTTCACTTTGGACCAATTTAACAACATATAATAGCATCTCCGATTATTGACCTATCTAATTTTGTAGCAAATCTCTGAGATTTCATGCTCCAATGAAGCAAAACCTCTTTCACTAGAAGCAACAAAATATATTTTCCCTTTGAGCTAGAGTCCTTCTAAAGAAAATTCAGAGCAGAAACAATCTGCTGAGCTTTGTACTTTTTCTCAGGAGCACAGAAGCTTGCACATTTGTCTGACAAGATCTCTTATCCCAGCAGATAAGAAGCATAAATTTACTTAATTTCAGGAATAGAATTGTATCATGTGTTCCTTCAAATTGTTTTCTGGGTCTAGATTCTAGAACACAGAACTCACATTTCCATATCTGCTAGAAGAGAACATACAGTATCACTCAAAAGAGATAGGATTAAAAATCTATACAAGCAAGTAATTCATACTTTCAAGGAAAAAAAAGTAGCCTGCTATAATATCTCTATATTCTGTTCTATTCCATATCTGGGTGGAATAGGAAAATTGCACCAAATTTAAAGATGACATATAGGCTTCGGATATTCAGAACACAAGGAGAATCTGTAAGATGGTTAAGAATTTGTAAATATTTAACTGCTCAGAACTAGGTCCAAATTTAGAAAGTCATGCTTTAGTAATGACTAACTGATTTCAATAGGACTAAAATATGATTACTGCTCATTGGCATTTGTGTTTCTATAAGGAAAGCTTTATTGGAGAAATGTATTTACCTCATTGCCCTAGATATTTGTACAAGCAATGTTCTACCTTGAATTATGCCTGATTATCAGGGCTATAAAATTTTAATTTAATTTTAAGGAGATCAACATTTCACCTATATTTTTAAGCATCTGCTATTGTTCTGAAGAAACTGCTATACTTTAAAGACAAAACAGTTTATGAACATGAGATTAACATTATTAATATTTAGATATTAGTGAAACCAATGGCAAGCCATGATTAAACTATATGGAGTCTGAATGAAAGTATAAAAGTAATTTTGTTTCTCTATCTAATTATGGGAAGTAAATTATATAGATCTTAAGAAGATAATTGTCCATTCAAGATGGACAATATTTCATGGCTTCTTAAACTAAAGTCTGTAATCTGATGTAATACACAATCTGCCTGAATTACAGAATTGTTCACAAATACATTATTATGCACATTTAAAGCATAATCATGCATTTGCCAAACTTATATAACTTTTGTTGAAAATAATGGTCATAGATAAAGCATATCCTTGATTAAAGCAAAACTCTGTCCTTTTTTAAATAAAACCAATAGCTATCTGAAAGTTAAGATCCACCGCACATTCATTCCTCATACTGTATGTTCAGAGCAGAAGAAAACTATCTTCTATAAATATCTAACACTAAATGAGAAAAGCAGGGATCAACACTTTTAAAATAAAATACAAGAAAGCTATATTTTAGCATGGTTATTCATTGAAACAATAAAACTGCATATTGGCTTGCAAAAGCTTAAAAGACCTTACTAAAATGCCCCCCCTTTCTACAGAACACCACTATATTACATTCTGTCATGTCTTCAGGCTGAAGATTTTATGAGAATAAAGAAACCAGTTACAGTATTTGTGAAGACAGTGAAACTTAAGCAATTAACAACCCTAAGCCACAGAACAATGGATTCAAATTTTAAGTCATTAAGAGATGGACATTTTATTTAATACAGATGTACAAGAACATCCAAATGCATTTTCAAATATTGGCTTACCTTCAGCTGCTTTAATATAATATCCATTCTCTTTACTTGGACGGATTTCCAGGAGCTGCATGATTCTATCCAGCAACCCATGAATAATCTCAAACCCAGGGTTTCTGTTATAATAGATAGCACAAAGATGCCTATGGTTTTTTGCACCTACATCTAAAGATGGAAAAAGAAACAAAAGAAAAAATCAACAACTTTGTAAAAACTGCACTTTAAAGACCATATTTGTTTCAATCCTATCAGGTATCAGTGTTTAACAAAACCATGGGTAGAAATTCATAGCTTTGATGGGCGACTATTTGGCTTATCTTTCCTGATAGCTAACTACCAATAAATATGCCCAGCTGCCTTATCATCTTTCTCAGCATGATACATCCGTACATGTATGTCCAGCAGTTAGCCATCAATGAGTTGCTTGAGGGTTGAATGGTAAGTAAAGAAGAATATGCAACATATACATTTTTTCAGAAACTAACCTTAAAGCAACATAAACTTGTAACTGATTGGTATTAATTCAGAGGATCACAAGATTAATACCACCCCCCCCCCCTTAACAGCCAGGTTTTAACAAAGTCATCTTGCTGACATACTAATTTTTAAAAGCTGTATGTATTATCCTAATACACCAAACCAGAATTAAACATATGGGGAAAAGTTGCAGTTTTAGGCTCGGAGACCTTCTGTTTGCCTGGATTTCCCATGCCGTGCAAGAAGAGATGGGAGGGGAAAGCTTGTTATAACTTATTCTTCTTTAAACAGATTGCAATAAATCAGAGATAAACAACCTGAAGTCCCGAGGCTTCTGTAGTTCTCAAACATCCAAAGACTTCCAAAATTTATCATTAAATTGTCATTTTATTTTGAGTGAAAATTTAGAATGAATTTACTAATATTAATTGTATTTATTAGAACTAAATGTAATCATATTCAACTATATCATATAATTTTTTTTAGGTTTGTGCTTCCACAAGTTTTTGGCAACTAAATATACTACTAAAAAGCCAGATATGGTTGTGGGCAAATAAACATTTTATATCACTGTGATAAACTATGGTCCCATATGGTTTATATGTTGAATGCCTTTTAACTGGAAAATATGGTCAAAAAAATGAAATTAGAAATAAAAATAGCAATATGAAATTCATTTACTACAGACCATATAAAAAAATTGTTGCCAAACCCAGGCAAAATTTTCTTAGATATACTTAGTGGGTTTTGTTTTTGTTTTTTTGCAAAATAGAAAGAAATTTATTGCATCATTCCATAAAACAATTTTCCTGCTTTTGTTTCTGTTTTAAAATGAAGAAGCCAAGATGTTAGGAAAAATTACAGATCTATTGTAGAGAGTTCAAAGTGCTGTCTGAAAAACCCATTCCATTCAGTTTACAAGGAAGGTAATCAGTGGGGGCTCTTTGGAACAAACCAAGAAAATGTAACATGAAATACTAGTATATGCTGCCCCCTGGCAGCAAAAAATATTAAAACATATTTAGAAAATTTATCTTTCATACAGTATTGTTATCAGTACTTTAGCAGCAATACCTACACACTGATAACTCATGAAACAACTAATAAATGCCTGCAAAAACATTTCTCTGTTCAATGTTTCTGTTGTCTGGTGCTTGTTCTCCAAAATGTCCATTTCAATAGTGACATCATCAGGAGATGGTTCACTATCATATATTCATATATTGTACTGTAATTCAAGCTGAACATTCTACTCCATTGTTACTATGCAATGGACACACACTCAAATTACACATATTATTGTGGTGTGTTTAGAACTATCTATTAATGAAAAATATTTATAATCCAACTGACAAATGTTTACACAGTGTTAAACAGTACTGACCAAATACAACGGCCAATAAATAAATTTAGCCAAAAGTAAGCACTGGTGAAAACATTTGGCAACATAGTTTGGATTCTATTAAGTATGCTAATTAATAAAACTGTGATGGCTAACAAATGTCTTAGCTTTATGATTTTCAAAAGCAGAAGCAATGCCTTTAGAGGATTTTAGAATATACATTTAAAAACAAGTTTTTTCATAATACAGTATTGTAACAAAGGATCTCAAAACAATCAGTTAATACAATAGCAATAGCACTTAGATTTATATACTGCTTCACAGTGCTTTACATCCCTCTCTAAGTGGTTTACAGAGTCAGCCTCTTGCCCCCAACAATCTGGATCCTCATTTTACCCACCTGGGAAGGATGGAAGACTTAGTCAACCTTGAGCCTGGTGAGATTTGAACTGCTGAAACTGCTGGCAGCCGGCAGTCAGCAAAAGTAGCTTGCAGGACTGCATTCTAATCACTGCGCCACCTCGGCTCTTTAACATTTTTCCACAAATTAATTTTTTATTAACCCAGCTTAGTTTCAGTGGTGGGTTCACCCCGGAGTGGGCGAACCGATAGCGGCGGCGGCGGCGGGAGGCTCTGCCCGCCCACCTGGACGTCTCTGTGCATGTGCAGAAGTGTCACGCGTGCGTGTGCGCGCCCATGAGCAAACCAGTAGTGACCAAAATTGAAACCCACTACTGCTTAGTTTGCGTGAATCCAGAGAGCTGAGATTATTCAGTAAAGCATGACACTGTAAATGGCTTAGAGAGGGCTGTAAAGCACTGTGAAGTGGTACATAAATCTAAGTGCTATTGCTATTTAGCATAACATAATCCAGGCTAAAAATCCTACATTGTCTAAGTTTCTTGAAATGGGAAAAAAGAGAAAAAGTTTAAAGGAATATATTTTAACAGAAATTAGAGGTATATTTTTTGGATCCAAAACTGGCAAGGATGTTTGAGATCCACCAGGGCTATTCACTTTGCATATATCAGGCTAAAAAAAAAGCCCTATTCTGGGGCGGCATAAACTGAACATAATCATATGTGAGCATAGAAAGAGAAGAATCAGGTCTAGTAAGGATACCACAATCTTCTACTATGGATGCCTCAGTTATAATGAAATGACTTACATCCCTTATATTTACACTAATGAACATTTTCTTACCCATGGTGGAATCTTTCACTACAATATCAGAAATTTCAAAGAGTTTCAGAGGTAAAGGCATCTTTTTATTAGCTGTAACAGTTTTCAAGAGTCCAGGCAACAGTGTAGTCCGTGCTACCTATAAGGACACATAAGGAGCTTGATAAATTATACTTCCCTGAAGAGAAAAGCTGCCAGCATAGAATGGGTTTTCACATGGTTGTTGTTGGGGAAACAGGAGGAAAGAGTATTAAATAAGTAGGCTGTTTTTTAGTATTTTGGTTAACTTAAAAGCAGGCTAATAATCTAATAAATATCTACATAATTCACCATAAATGCTTATTCCATATTTCTCCCTGATGCAGCAGCTATTCTCATTCTTTATTATTTGTCAACAAAGCTCAGCATTAACAATATGGCTCGTATTAAATAAACTGAAATATGGATAAAATTAAATATTATAAAATATTTTTTCCTTGACAAGTGAGAACTATAAAAGTACTGAACAAAAGTTGGCATGTTAATAGTTTCTACTTTAGAAAATCAATAAATAAAGTTGGGAAGAATATGAAGGTGAATGTATTGTCTCATTCACAATCTTGCCCACTGGCCAGGCATATTATGTATGGGTATTACACTCTAATATAATTTGAGTGGGTTTTTTTCAAGATGGTTTTAGCTATGCTGGCTTCAGGAAAGACCCAACCTGATAAAGCTGAATGTTCTGAGATTTATAGGAATTCTGGTTCCAAAACTGGAACCTTCCTCAAAATAGTCCCATTTTGAGAATCTACAACTGCTGACACAAACATTGCTGATGGTAATTTCCTAACTTTGGAACTTCACAAAAGTAAGCGGGGGGGGGGGACTAATGTTACAGATGTACCCTCCCAGACAGGTATGATTCCTTGGAGGTCCTCCAGCAAGCTATTTTATGGATAGGATTGCAACAATTTTTTTCAGATTCATACTGAAATTCTTGTAGCCCTCACCTGAAATTCAGCTGTTTTGGGATTGGCTATATGTACAGCTTTTGTTGCAGAAATATCAATCCCCAATTTACTAGCGATGTCTTCTTGGGAACACTGTATAAGGATATAGGAAGTCAATGTATTTAATCATGTTAAATTACAATTTAACTGCAAGAAGTAGATTTAAAAGACTAAAAAAGAAAAGAAAGAAGGCCCAATCCCCAACAATGAGTTAGTTTTCATGTTACGGTAATACCTAATTTAGTAATATTTTATTGCTATAATTATGCCCTTCAGGATTTTAATTATCATTGTTTAAGCAATAACAATTTTTATAACACTTTAGACTTAAAAAAAAATTAATTTGAAACATTGCTGAAAAGATATGGGACCACATTACCAATGCCGCTGGGCTATTACAAAACTCTTTCAGCACCATTCAAGTAGGAGCAAAGCCACTAAAAATTGGAACCTCAAACCTCCATTAGGATTCTGCGTGTGCATGCATGCAGAGATTGTCAGGATCAGCTTATAAAACAACTCAGCAGTTATGTAAAATGATAGGCTTTAATAAGTTGAAGAGAGGTATATTACATGCACACCACAGGCTGCAAAATACCTATCTGAAAGGAGTTGTAAAACTTTATCTTCCATTTCTTATCCCCAGATGAATTATCTGGAACAATGTTACTGTCAATAAGCAATAAGTCTATCAGGACAACTGTGGCTGTTTCAGTGCTGAAACTTAAATTAAACTTAGCAGTTCATTACTATAGTCTTCTTGAAGTTTCTTCAAAAAAGCCATATGCTTTGTTCAAAGCAAGTGAGGCTGCTAGCTCTTGCAAAGAGGCTTTCATCATTCTGAATACTCAGCAAGTGACTCATTTAATCCAGCGGTCTCCAACCTTGGTAACTTTAAGACTTGTGAACTTCAACTCCCACAGGTTCACAAGTCTTAAAGTTGCCAAGATAGGAGACCCCTACTTTAATCTACTGATGTCTGCTGACATACATATTAGTATTTACATTACAAATAAAGAAACTGAAGGTGGTTTGAAACTCTTCTTTTTTTAATAAAGGTAGCAATTGAACAGTCACTGTAGTTTGAATTTTCAGATGTTGAAAATAGTGCAAGAAAACTAACTCTCATTCTTCGAACATGCTGAAGCTAGTTTGCGTCTTTATCAACAGCATTCCTCACAAAATAGGAATACTATGATTCCTTCTTGTGCTCTAATTAGTGAAGACAAAATAAATCACTGCAACAATCACATTTTACTATTAGTGTAGCATCATATATGAAATATATACTGGAGATATTAAAAAAATCAAGGCTTCACAATTGTGGAGTGCTTCTATAGTCTATCTCTTTTTAGGATGCAGTACCCTCTCATGAAATCTTATTTTCAAGAAACAGAATCTATTATACACATACCAGAGCAAAAGTGAGGGCTTCAGTAAATCCTGCAGCGGCCAAATCTTGCCTCAGAAGTTCTGTGAGTTTATTGAGAGGAAACTAGAAGAGAAAATAAAAGTTCTTTCTGCTCAATGAATATCATATATTTATGGAAATCACTGTTAGTTTACCCTTTAAAAAAAAAAGAATGGAATAACACCAAACAGTTACATCTGGTCTCTGCAGAGGAAATGCAGTTCCAATTAGAGATTGAATATACGGCCTCCAGGTTTAAACCTTGCCTTTCTGGAAGCCCATCCATTGCAGATCTTTTGAATTTCTCAGATCAGTTAGGCATCTGTTTTGTATCTTTGCTATGGTAAACTCCCCTTGCTACAAGATATGACAGAAAATGTTTTAATTCTTAGGCAGTTTCCTTCTACAAACTCTTCTGGCATACTTCTAGCCTTTTAATTGACAATACAGACTGTTTACTTTAAGGGTGCAATCTTACTTGATTAGCTATGGTGTACGTTTTTGGAATCGTCATCTGAATGTTATTATAGCCATACGCTATTGCTGCATCTTCTATGATATCACATGCATGGATAATATCAGCTCTCGTAGGTGGGATTTCAACTTCTATATTGTTCCCATTCCCTATGACGTGTGACTTCAAACACATTCTAGTAAGCAGCTTTGCAAGGCTTGATGGTGTCTCACTAAAACAAAACACAAAAGTAATTTTTAAGGAATGTTTTGGAAAAAAGTATGTACTTTCATCAGTAACTTTCAAGCATTGTAATTCAACATAGCCAGGTACTCTCATAAATCAAGCCCGGACATGAAATAAATATTATCAGAGATACAATACAAATCCTGATGAAGCTGAGCAAGGTATAAGTTCATTAGATTTTTTAATAAAAAATATACTGCCCTGTTGCTTTCGAATGCTGGCATTTTCAGTGTATACAAAGTGCTTTCCACTTCCCAATCAAGATACCATTTATACCTTAATATACAGCTAATAGAAAATCACCAACAGATGCATAAATGGTTTGGGTTTTTTCTATTAATCCAAACTATGTAATATGTTCTAGAAGTTGGGTTTTTTAAAATAATTGTTTTTTAAAAGAAGATATAAGATAATACAATAATACCAATTCAACTTAGAAAGAAAAAGAGAGAATAGAAAGTACAAGAACAAAAAAAAAAGGGGGGGGGGAAAGAAGAGAAAAGAAAAATTTAAAGAAGTGCTTTCCGGTCTTCATCCTAACAAGTACAAACGTAGTGATTTTTCACTGACTATAAGGTTACATGTAAGTATCTCTTCTTTTCACAACTCATGTGAAAATCAATAATATTTTAGTCTTACTCCTAACAAAAAGTATGTACAGGATTCCCAGAGTTTCATAGAAGCATGTCTTATTTTAACTTTGGTCAAACAAACTAGCTTTATACTCCTTCCTTTGTTTCTAACAATCTTGATTTTTAATTTACTCAGATGTTTCATAGGATTTATTTCTCTTCACTTATTCTTTGTGCATCTGAAAGAGTTCTTCGAGGCTTTAGCAAACTCTTTTGTAAATGACAGATTGCATGACTGTAAGGAGTCATTATCCAGATCACATTCTTGAATTATTTCCACTTTAACTGTCATCTCCATCTTAAAATCCACATTTTTAAATTTTTTTCCAAAATTTTACCAATTTCTTTATATTCTAATATTTCTGCATCAGATGAGGTTTGTTTTACCTCTTCATCCTGTAGATCTTCCAAGGTATTCTCTTTCACGTCTTAAAGACAAAGAACTTTGGGAAGCCATTGAGAAAAAATTGCTTTTCAACTTACAAGTTCAAATTGAAAATTTGGATTAAAAGTTTGATAAAATAACAGTGGTTCTAAATCAACCCAAAGATGATACTCAGAGACAAGTAACAGCATCTAAAGCAGATTCACAATTGGACAGTTTGGAATTTAATGTGTTGCTGGTGGATTTGAAGACAAGAAGTTTGTTTGAAAACAGCAGGCTTGTTGGAGAAGGTTGAAAGTGGCATGGATTTTAAAGACTTAGAATTGACAGAACTGCTGAGTGATGAACTGGACTTTCTTAAGAAGACAGAGATTTGGGAATGGAATGGACTTATATCCAACTGAAAAAGGTTTTTTTGAACAACAAATGCTGTGGAGATATCTACAACAGAAACTTATGATTTTGATGAATGAGATCCAATTGTTTGGAAAGATTTCGGTTAAAATTAAAAATTTAAGGAAAAGCTTTATTCTTAAGAATCAAATAATGTTTGATCCTACATGGACCGAGATAACAATTGTGGTGGTTTATGGTAGATTAGAAGCCATTGTTGACTTTCTGTGACTGACATACAATATATATTGTTAACAGAGGGCTCTGAAGTTTATATATATTAAACAGATATCATGTCAAATTGCTTGGGTCGCAAGGGAGGAAACTATTATATGTGAAATATATTTATCAATATTCAACTAGGAGGGACAATCTATGTATTCCACTAACCCCTGCTACTTTTTCCTACATTCTTTTTTTAATGTCTTATTTAGTTTTGCTTTGTTCTTGTTTTTTTTCTTTGAGTTTATATTTTAACAGTGAATAAAATAAAAAAACTTACTGCAAAAAAAGGTTCTTTTAAAAGCATATCAAGTGGAACAACTGGTTGTCTTAGTCCTTAAAACCTTCTTGATAAAATTTGTTTTTAATTATATAGTACACCCCATTAGGAATTTAGATGATGTAATTCAAAAGTTGACAAAAATTCTTGCAATGAATTCTCAATGAATGAAGTCAATCTATAACTATTTTAATGTTTACAAAAAAGAGGGAAGACCAAGCTGGTTAATTTACAACCAATTAGCTTATTAAATATTAACAATAAATCCTCTCTGCCAAATCCCGTTAAAATAAATGTGTTGACTAAATGATCCAAGTGAAGTTGCTGGCTCAGGAGCAAGACAGTTTTAAACCAGATCAATCAACTTTTAAGCAATGTATCATTTTAAATCTTCTGGCAGGAAAATAGTCCAGCTGCCAAAGAAGAATTCTCTAGGCAATTGTTCATTGCATTCCTAAAGAGAGTTTACGGAAGAAACTGGCAGCCACATATATAGATCACCATTTACTCTGGCTGACTGTGATTTATGATTTATTAAATATTTATAATCCTTTATTTATTTACTTTAATTTCTATTCCACTCAATTCCCAAAGGATCCAAGCATCTTACAATAAACCAAGGTTTATGATTAAAGCCAGGAGAAAAGGAAAACAATCACCAATCCTCGCAACAACCTAAGTGCTATGTTTGAAACAGGATGACAATCAGTTAAATTTTGTCCAAATGCTCTCTTGAAGAACTGTCTTTTAATAGCTCTTTGAATGCACATTAAAGAGAGGAGGTATGAGTAATTAAAATACTTGTCTGAAAGGCCTCCAATCTATACTGAAATACATTAGTTTTTAATGATAATTCTGATAGGTAAAGGTAAAGGTTCCCCTCGCACATATGTGCTAGTCGTTCCCGACTCTAGAGAGCAGTGCTCATCTCCGTTTCAAAGCCGAAGAGCCAGGGCTGTCTGAAGACGTCTCCATGGTCATGTGGCTGGCATGACCCAACACCAAAGGTACACGGAACACTGTTACCTTCCCACCAAAGGTGGTCCCTATTTTTATACTTGCATTTTTTATGTGCTGTCAAACTGCTACATTGGCAGAAGCTGGGACAAGTAACAGGAGCTTACCCCGTTACGTGGCACTAGGGATTCGAACCACTGAACTGCTGACCTTTCTATCAACAAGCTCAGCGTCTTAGCCACTGAGCCACCAAATTCCTTCCACTGAGCCACTGGGTCCCTGATACTGATACTGATTCTGATACTGCAGTCATTAAATGGTTTCAATTCAAGATGCTAAAGCTTTTGCTATATAGTGCTCAACTTTTCATCTACAAAGAAACACTTATTTTATAAACAATTCGATTGAAATTTATAAAAACCATGCCACATGGATTTCATTAATGAAGGTATGTTTCTATAAGGTGCACATGAGAATTAGTTGCTTGAAATACTACTAAAACTACTTTAGGGGATGAATGCTTGGTCCAGGTTATCTTCATTGAGAAGTTGGACTTGGACTACAGAATGAAACTTTTACTACTGTTAAGGAGCCATTGATAGTATACGTTCTTTCCATTTTACATACAAGAGGATTTATATTAATGAATTTAACATCTAATTCTCAGAGATATTGGAATTCAGTAACATCCCATACTCAGGTCTCTCTGTCCATGGTTAAATGAAGCCATTGTAATAGTTTTGCAATCTTGCTGAGTTTTCCATTGTCGCACATTTGGCATTCAGATAATATTTCCCTCTACTTTATTTAATATATAGATTGGCCTTAAATATAGGTTAAACACTTTGTAGCAGCAGACCAATCTACCAAAACTCCTATGAAAGTTTCCAGATTATGCTCAATTATGATTGCTAACAGAAAATGCTGAGTTTAAATGTCTAAACTTCAATGATCTTGTGTTTATGTTTTCTTTTGGTTTCTGATTATTTACTTCAATCAATCAGTAAATAAATATGTGATAAAGATAAAGAATAGGTTTACTGGATTAGATCTGATAATAGAGTGCCTGAAAAACTCTGTACTGAAATCTGTGTTCAGATAATTCAGGCATATTTATTTTATCATATTAATGAATGGACAGGTTGGAAAGTCTTGCCCACACTCACCAGCAGCAACTAATTCCAATAGACTAAGAATGAGGCATGATCTTTATCACATAGAAAGCAAAAATTCACATCCCTCCCTCTTTAAAAGGCAGAATCTTTGTGCTTGTGCAAGACAGCAAGCAGATCTCCAGAGGATGGGAGAAGATCAAGAAGCTGTGTACCAGGAAGGAGAGAAGGAGAAAGCTGAGATCATTCTTTTTTAGCCCCAAATTAAAGTTTGGAACTTCCAGAAAAACAAAAAAGCACATCTAACAAAATTGAAATCAGAAGGAAAATCTGATTAAGGACTGTTATTTGGCAAAAAAACTAGACAATTATCTAATTGGAACCGTACCAGGTTTAATTTTTGCTTGTGTGCTATCATTTTTATATCTCTGCACAATTTAAAAGCCTTGACATTCTTGTCAATTTGAACCAAACTTTGAAAGATCCTGGGCTAAGCCTTAAAAGCCTGTTAGCTTTTACTAGCAGGAAATTTGTGACACCTTGTGGTCTGCTAGAATTTTTATATTTACATTTATATATTTACATTTATATATTCTGCCAAATCTTTTTTCTTGTTAACTCCATTTATTTTGATAGAGAACGCTTTCTCTCTCTTTGTCTTTCATACTTTCTCTTCAGTAATTCTTCTATTTTTACTTTCACAAGTTTCACTTTTTCTTCCAGAAAACGTCCATTTTTTCCCCTTCAGGATCCTCTCTTGGCATTAAAAGTAATTAGTTTTTCCTATGTTAGATCTTATGTGCACCTTTTATCTCTCACTAATTCTATGCATATTTTATTAGAAACAAACCAATCATATATTTTAATTTAGATTCTTTTCCTTGCCACATGTACAAATGAATAAAATGATGCTTAAATCATGTATTCAAAATGGATCTTTTCTAAATAAAAACTCATCAAGTGTCCCAACGTTTATTTAGGTCTCTTGTTTCAGTCACAGATATTCATTCATGTCATCTAATTTAATCACTTTGTTCCCAGGATTACATTCTTTCAGAATATTGTGCATTTTTCCCCCTCAAAAACCTGGTTCTTTACTTGTCACCATTTAGTGGAGTATAACATACAATTATCATTAACAAATCAGTTTCCAAGTTTATAAACTAGCCACAACATTCTTAGATGCCAATTAATTATTTCTGGGATATACTACCATTCTATTCATGTTTAAACTTACACTTTTGATTCTATTAAGGTATCTATCAACTGAATTCTATAAAATCAGACCGTCTATAATCAGATGTATTATAACAGTTTTCTTTTGCTCACAGTCACAAATACACAATGTATTGATCTTTTTTCATTTCATTCATGCTGTTTACCATTTATCTGCCTTATAGTCCTAGCTATACACCGAGATCATTGCCAGATGATCTCAGTGTATAGATGGGCCTCATAGATGGGCCTTCGCTATCCATCATGCTTTTCGCAATCTGGCTTTGTCATAGAATTTTTTTAAATAGATAAGTTATAGATTAGGTGTCACAAACCTAAATTGTACTTATGCCACAAGCAGCATTCTCTGCTCATGGTAAGAACAATACTGAACATTTCATTTTCATCAGTATGCCACATGCACAACCAAAGCCAGTTGTCAGGGTTCCAAGTAACAGTGTCAACCGTGGAGCCATCTTGGAACATCTTTAGGGTTGCCACCAGTTTTATTCTAAGCATGCTAACAATAGGATCTCAAATCTAGAGACTACTTTGCAAGCTATCCCATTTACTAAGTTGTGATTTAATAGTATTACAGTTTGTAGAACAAACCAAGAAGTCTGGTTAAATAATATATGTCTAATGAATTATGACCAGTCTTGCCTGCTCTTATAAAAATTACCATTGGCTAGAACCAATCACACAAAAATCTTATCACAGATGCCGTAAATAGCACTCTATATGCATTTTCTGAAGAAAAAGAACATACCTCGGACTTCTGGTTTGCTGCTTGTTCCCGCTGGACGCTCCTCCGGGATCGTCGAACCCACTGCCTGTAAGAGCCGCCTTTTTCAGCGGAATGGCGGCTCGAAAAAACTCCGTTTCCATTAGGAAACGGAGATAGAGCCGGCTGGGGTGGGTAGAGTCCTCTGCCTAATCCCAAAAGTTTTTTATTTACTTTTGGGAGGGAGCGGAAGAGACTCCCCGTATCCCCAGCCGATGCTCCGGGCTCTGGGAAATCTCTGCTACACGCAGAGCTAGGGGGCAAAAGCAAGCCTGTAAATCTGTCAAATAAATTAATTAAAGAAGATATGAGCTGGACCTCTGATCCTGAAGCGCAAGTATTCTTTTTATTCTATTTTGCCTAAGAAGTGAAGTGAAGGGAAAAAAAGTTTTTTTTTTAAAATGGCGATTGCTGCTGCAGCTTGAAGAGAGGCTGAAAGGGAAACTCCTTCCGTTTTCAATTACAAAGTAGCGGAATGAATACTTTTGGCTGTAACTGAAGGCAAAATCTCACTCTCACTTCTGTTTTTTTTTTCTTTTTTTTTTTTCTTCTCTCTTTGAGGATCTGATATTGATCTTGGTTGGAAAAAAAGTTTTTTTTCTCTCTTTTCCAGTAAATTTTGTCTGCGTGGAAAAATGGCACTGAGACTTATAAAACTAGACAAACAGGCAGTGGGGGGGGGGATTCCCCCATTAATAAATTACATCAACAAGTTTTAACTCTCCAGTCTCAGAAACCTGACTTTAATATAATAGAATTTCTTCTTGAGGAGATTGTAAGAAGGGATGAGATTGTGAATCAGCAACTTGAAAAATTTAAGTTGGAAATCAAAGAAATTGGTGAATTGGTGAAATCTAAGTTTGGCTTTTTGGATCGAAAGATTTTAAAAGTAGCTAATGGCTTAGCAGACTTTATGACTCAGTTGGAAGCAAATACTAACTCTAAAATGAAAGAAACTGAGGAGAATTTGGATGACAGGATCCAAAAAATTAAAAAGGATTTGGCAAACATTCAGGATAATAGTTCAGAAGACAAACTTAAAATGGAGGCTGATCAAAAGACTGTTAATGAAGAAAATGTACAACAGAGGATTGAAAGAGAAGTTTTAATGATCCAATACAATTTTACAGAATATGCAATTAGACTGAGAGGTTTGCAGGAAGATGACAGAGATTTAAGGAAGATATCTTCTGAAATTCTGGCTGGGATTTTAAAGGTTCAACCTGATGAAGTGTTTTGCAGGATTGACAGAATTTATAGAATAAACTCCTGGTTGGCAAAACAAAGGCAATTGCCTAGAGATGTGGTGATTTATTTTACAGACAAAGAAATTAGAAATAATATTGTCCAGAATTCTTATGATTCTGCTTTGCAATTTCGTGGAAGGAAGATCTGGATTTTTAAGGAACTCCCGCCCAAGATGTTAATGGAGAGGAAGAAATTTGGTTTTCTAGTGAATGAGTTAAAAAAAAGGAATATTCTATTTAGGTGGGACGTCCCAGTTGGTTTAATATTGAGACACCAAGGAGTAAAATACCAACTGAATACTGTCGAAAAAGCGGAAGAATTTTATCAAAAAATTTTAAAAATAAATCTAACATCTTTAGGCATAACACAGGACAAGCAAAAGGAGTTGGAAATAAAGGGAAAACATCAAATTACAGAGTAGATAAACTGTCTTTGGACTCCTTGGATACCCCAGCTGGACTGTCTATAAATTTGAGAGCAGTGTCATCTGATTCTAATGTGATGAACTATCAACTTACAGACAAGTGCGTAAATCACCCAGTTGATATACAAGTGATGGAAAAGACATATGAGATAATAAAACAAAACCAACAAGATCAATTTACAAAGCAGAATGACAACCGATCAGTTGATACACAACTTGTAGGAAGGAAATCTGGATGGAAATGCAACCCGCAAAAGAAAAAGAAAAGAAACAGATCTCGTAGAAATAGTAGTTTCTAAACCAAGCAACAGTGAAGCCAGGGATTTAAAAAAAATAAATAAATGAATATGTGAAAAGATATTGGAGGCGAATTATCGTTTAATACTATCTTGAGGAAAGTGGCAGATCTCTGCAATGCCGTGATTTTGGGATGTGGAAAGAGCCTTACATTGTTGGATTTGAACTATCTATTTTGGATTTCTTTTACCGATAAATATATTATATCTATTTTGAGTTACAAGGCAAGAGAGTCATGCTGGGGCATGCAGAAGATCTGGCTGTTACCCACTAAGATGATGGGGATTTATAATCCTGATGAAAACCACAATTACAACTATATGGAATATAATTATAATGTCACTTGGGTGGTTGTTTTTACTTTTATATATACATGAGGATATTCATTATTGATGGGGGCAGAAGATGACTGAAGATTTTGAATAAACTGTTGCACCAGGATGCTATGTTACCCTATTATGGATGACGGATTTAACAATCTAGTGGAAAGACATCAAAGAAGATACTAAATGAATTATAAATTTAAAGTTATTGTCTTTTCTCTTTTTATAAAATGGAATGTATATATAGACATATGTATATTTCAGCAGAGTGGGCAGTGGATTATATTTAGAATTGTAGTGCATGGTAATCTTGCAGGAAACTGGGTTGAAATAGGCTAGTTTAGTGATTGATTAGTTTAAGAAAAAGGATTTTTAAGTTATATATTTTGGGGAGTGGAAGAATTGGATAGAACTGAATAAATTTGGAGAAGGCTGCTTTGAAATGTTAAATTAATATATATAAAAGTAAAAGTTATGTTGTTGTAATAATAATAATATTTTATAAGTTTGGGGGAGGAGAAAAAGGGTAGATTGTGAAAAGCGGAGAAAAGCGGAGTTATAAGAATACTATGCTAAGGGTCAGTACTTTGAGGAGTGAGTAAGGGCATGGTAAAATATTATGTAATTAATTATGAATTAGCTTATTGTTGTGAAGAAGAAGTCACAGGGGGGGATGGGTGGTGAGGGCGGGTTGGGGAAGAAGGGAGGAAAAGGGGGAAAAACTTGTATTTGAAAAACTTTTTCAATAAAAAAAAAAAAGAAAAGAAAAAGAACATACCTAATTCCTATCTTCTTGTTAATTATTTCAGGTTTTATCTTTTCACGACGATAGGGCAGCTCCTAAAAGATGATGACACAAGAATCATTGCTCTCATATCATTAGACTTGCTTCTAGAACAAACTTAATTTTCAACTAGGTATTGCTACTGAGAGTTTTACTATTTTAAAATATTAGTAGTAATCATTATTAAACAATGTAATCAATCTTCCTGACTAAACATATGATAGCAATTTTTTCATAACCATCCATCATATGAACAATCATTTAACACATTAGCATCAGATATGCATAAAATAAATAGCTATACATGAATATAAACAATCCCAGGCTTTAAAAAGTTTCTCCAGTATGCATTGCCAGGCAGAGAAATGTCAAGAACTTATTAACATCTTCCTCCATATAACTAACTACTTGTTATAGACAGGCAAATCACCTTCTAATATTTGGAGCAATATTGAGTTATTCATGTTCTGGAACCTGCTGTTACTGAAAATATGTGTACTTTGTTAGTATATTATATGTTATATATTTTGCATTGACTAAGAATTGTGTTATTTTTCTTTCAATATATGCAAGATCCAGTGTTCTGTTTTTCCACTCTGTTTTTTGCAGGAAGATCTTCTCCAAAAGATCAGAAGAATATCTCTATTAGAGGTTCTCTGAGAGGGAAAAATGTCTGCTTCCTTATATAGTTAAAATATAAGAAATCTGAAATTTCAACTATGCTTTGGATTGTAATTATTTATTTTAACATATAGACAAAAAAACTCTTACAGAATTTATACATACATTAGACATAAGCAAACATTTTGAACCTGGGAAAACATAAATATTACCAATATATGCTAGATGCATTTATAAAATGGTATGCAATAGGGAACTTAGTTCTTTATTAAATGACTTCCAGTGGATGGAGAATATCACAAAACAATAGGTATCAACAAAAATTTTCAAATTAAAACTATTTGGAATTTGAAATAAACTGTTTGGAGTGCCAAACAGCATTTTTAAAGGCAAAACTGCTCTTTTGAACACTTCATTATTTTTTTTTAGTTCAAAACATTTCCAAAATATAGCCTCGCTTGCAATACTGGCAACTGATTTACACTTCAATACATGGAGCATTCAAAATTAAAAATGATTCAAATTTGAAATCCAAACAGAACATTCATTTACCAGAAGACAAACTGAGTTTCTTTCCACAGAACTTTCTAATTCACTAGGATGCTCTTTACCACTATCACTTACTTCTGATTTTTTTTTAAAAAAATCTTAATTCTATTCTATAGCATCAACATCCTGAGGACAATGCCCATGCTTTGGTAAATCATGAGTGAAGCAATTTAGTTCAGATAGAATATGAAGTTAGAAAATGCACTGCAGTGGAAAGTTCTACCCATTTGGTACAGTAACACTTTAAAATATACCTTGGGCAACCAGTATATTTTAATATATTAAATAGAACAGTGTGGGAAATAGTAATAATACCATTCACTAAGGAAGATCTATGGAATTCAGAAGGGGTAATAAAGACAAATGTCCAGAGTTACTTTCAGAAGACAAAAAATAAAAAATAAATAAATTACATATACTAGCTTTCCTTTCCAAAAGTGTTCTGATTCTAAAATATATAAAAACTCTTATGTTAGCTTTTATAATACTCACTGGAAAGATGTAGCTTTTTCCATTAGGATAAGTTACTTCTACTGCTTCAACCCTTAAAAGAGAGCAAAAACACACAATTACAGCAGAGGCTACAACAAACATGCATACTGTTATAAAAGGAAAAGTCAGACTAACTCACGTGAATGGCTTATTGCAATATTCACTGAACATTGTAACCAGGATATCGAGTACATTTTTTGCCTGAAACACAGAAAGCATACCTATTTCTTAAATTAAAATATTTAATTATTAAATACTATAATTTAAGTAACCGTATTAAATTAATGAATGTTTTAAATACAAAATTACAATATCAGTTCATAAGAAATCTTTAAAAACTTTATTAATTTTCCAAAAATGTCATGAAAAACTGGGCAACTAAATTACTAACTAAACCAATTAACAAATGAAGTGTCCGCATGTCTATGAAGCTGACAAAAGATCCAAACTCTGAGTAGTTCATTACATTATATACATTTATATCCATTTTAATTTCTAGAGACATAAAAATAACCCTACAACTGATTGCTATGATCCAACATTTTCAAATCCTTTTATAAAGCATCAAACTTACTCCTTATATTTGCTTTGAAGCAGGTCACATTTCTAAAAACAAACACTGATCAGTTTTAATTTTTTTCTGTAGGTCAAGATTAACTTTGCTCAACATTTTGCTGGTCAAGGGTATTTACCTTGGTAAGATCTGTGGCTGTACACTCAACGAATACATTTCTAGTTTTGAGGCTAATTTTTGAATGTTCTCCTAAAAAACAGAAATACACTGGAATTGAAGATGCAATTTTTTGTGTTCTTGAATTTAAAAGACTGAGGTTTACAGATCTTTCTATTGAATACTGGAATTAGAACTACAGTACTAGAAAACCTAACAACCAGCAAAATAAACATGCATGCTTAGATCCAAGTGATCTTTCTTTAAATGAACAAGAGTTTGCAGGTCCGGTAGGTTATTGTTTCTCCTTGTTTATAGCTGTTCATAATTTTGTACCAGGATATTTGAGAAGACTTTGAAACCCAGATGTATAGACATGATTACACCTACATTATTTTGGGAACCAGGCCCTGCAGCTGAAACTACTAGTGAAGGTTACAATATAGTCAGTGGAATGTTCTACATTTGCCATAATTTTGTAGTAATAATATGGTGGTAATTTGCATAAATATCATGGCTTTTCTAAGAAATCGATATCATTTGAACTGCAATAAATTGTAAAAATTATTCTTTGAAAAATGAAGCAATACTGCCTATAGCTAAAGACAACATTGGTGTATCTATGGATAGATTATTTATATTTCTTTGAAACATGTTGCAGTATTTATTGAAAGAACATGCAGATATATATTAAGCTTAATCCCAGTCAGTTCTATGTTTTCGCAGACCAGAATCCCCAGTTCCTATGTCATGAGAAACAAACTACAATTTACTGCGGTCCAGAATTCATTAACTATGTTGCTTTATAATAGGAATTAATGACTGCAATTTCAGCAGTATGCAGTAGCGGTTTTGCTTCCCCATCTGTAAGCAAGAATTCTGAAATTCTGGCTTCCTATGAAGTACAAATGCACTTTCCACGAGAGTTCACTAGGAGCCTCAATCTGTTCCCATAATGGATTTTTGTGTTTTGTTTGTTCTTTACTTTATAGAAAGATACTCAGTCTCATTTTAAAATTACATTCTTGAGAAATCTGTAACCTTAGAGCTGTTTTAAATGATATGTAGAAATGCATTTTACAACAATACCACATTCATCCTCATGGAAGTGAGCTTCTGGTTATCTATGATGTTTTCCCTATTTTCTTATCCTGGGAGCTTTTCCCAAATATGTTCCAGATGTACAGTACATGGGAAGGATGCAGACAGAACAGGAATCCAATGTGCCAGTTGCATCTAGTCTGCTGAGTAGATTATACCTAAGTGTACATATGAGAACCTTGGTGCTTTCTGAGCTTGTTTTCTTGCAGAAAATTCATTATCCAAACTAGCTAACATCCTCAGTGCTAGTTTGGGTAATGAAACATCTGCAAGAAAACAAGCAAGTTCAGAGAGCACCAAAGATCCCTTATGCCAACCCTGAGCTACAAATATTCTCCTTTATTAGTACATATGAGAACTTCAACCAATTTAAAATTTTATAAAAAGTTTATATTCCATTTTTGTTAAAGAGATCAAACAGATCTTGAGAATATATTCAAAAAGCATGAAGAGGTTCTTAGAAACAGAAAAAAAAAAATTCTTATATTGAGGAGTATGTCCTGAAATAAATACAAGTTTCAGACTATAACAGTATGCCATTTCCTATTTCTTTCATTTAACTGAGGTTAAAACAAATATTGCTAAGAAAAGTCTTACCATTAATTATTGGTGGCATTGAGAGAACAACACCATTGCTATCATAGATAACTGGATAAAGTGATTCATTTTCAATAATATGCAGATAGTGTCTAAGATGGCTATCCGTCTAAAACAAACAAAAGTTAATGTTTATATCTTTCCTCAGAAACCATTACACGGTATCATCTTATAGTATCTGTATAATATACACTAAGCCCTAGAATAGATGCGTAGATGTTATATATGAATGATTTTTTTCATTGGAAAAAGTCACTATATGCTAGAAAGGTGATCGGCAATTCACTTATTTCCCAGTATATTCCTTATGGCACATTCCTTATTCAAAAGTCTATGAGCAGATATGAAATTAGAAATAGAACTTCCTGTAAAAACTCAACTGGCTTTCAATTTATTGCTAATCTGTATAAAACAAGCAAACTATCAAGGAGTTTGGATGTTGACAAATTCATAACAGAATAGTGCAATAATTTTACAGTATCACCAGAAGAGAAATTTCTAATGTTATCCATTGTAGGAGAAAAACATTAAAAGCAGATTTTGTCTTACTGGACATTAGATTTCAGGCCAATGCTCCAAAATTGTTGGCAAAATGAAACCAGTAAAGTAAATTTGATAGGGAAAGTATAGAGAAATACATGAAGGATTATTTATTTGGGCAGGAAGTTGGACAAGAAGACTTCCAAGATTCTTTCCAGCTCTGATTCTATGAAGCATTAAGAAGATACATGAAGAGCAATCATGTCTAATCCGAACAGCCATATAAGCAACAGCTACTTAGGTTTAGCAAGATTGCTACATCACAGGCTTTCAGATAGAACTATTATCTAATGTCTCCTAAATCACAAAGTGGGCCTACAAGCTCAGTTCTATGCTATGACATCTAAATAAACAAATCATAGTTAGGGCAAGCTCTAGTTAGGGCAAGGAGCAACAGTAGTATGAGGTCAGAAATGAATTTACAAAAAAGAGAAAACCTATTTTAGCAATCCAGGTTTACTGGATTACTGCATGATCTAAGGCTTTCTACTATCGGCCAAGTGTTTTGGAACATTCCTAGTTATAAAAGCTGGATGTTAACTCAGTCCAGTGTATAATGCTGGTTACAGTTCTTCCAAATCTGTGAGTTCACTAGGAGCCTCAGTTACATTGTATTGTTTGTGTGTGTTTGTTTTTTTATTTTTTATTTTAAATTTGATTTATATGCCACCCTTCTCCGAAGACTCAGAGCGGCTTACAATGCGTTAAGCATTTTTCCAGGTTATAGACATTAAGTTCTTGTTTATACTTTCATGAGATGCTGTTTGCATGTATTTATAATTGTATTCATCCAGTCACCATGTTGAGATAAGTGGTCATATAAATTGTATCAAATCACAAATTAATGGAAAAATATCTAGTTGTTTTAAAGTAACTTACCCTGTACATTTCCATGATCTCAGGAGCACTGTATTCTTTATCCTGATTCAATGGTTTGAATTTAATTTCAGGTGGTGGTTTAGCTGTATATATAAATGGGCCAGAGATTGTATCTAGATCATGGGTACCAATTGCAACTAATGATCTCTTCCTAAAAAGAAAGCAAAATGAATTAACATCTCTAGATACCAAATTCCCATTAAACAGGGTACCAATAGAGATAGGGATAAAGTGACAGTTGTTATATTCTTGTATAATAAATATTCATGTATAATAAACTTTAAATATTACACTGTAACTTGCATCTGAAAAATGAATACACACATATTATATGCAGAAGTTTCCTTCCCATTTTACTTACATCTGATTTTTAAAATACCACATAAAAACAGTGTACTTTAGCATTTTCTTTTCAACTTAAACACATTCTAATTCAATAGTTTTATTATTTCACTAAAAAAAATTCTTTTTCAGAATACAACTAACCTGCATATATTTTGATGCAATTTTTCCTGTAGGTCAATGAAACTATCATAGCGGTCTTTGACAAAAGTTATATTACGAAGAACTGCAGCCACAGCATAAGGACGGATTTGGGCAGTCTGCCATAAAATAGATATAATTATTAGTAATAGACAATTTGGATGAAAATATTAAATGCTCCATAAAGCAATCCATTATTTAATAAAATTAAGCCTTCATCTTAAACCAAAACATTTAAAATAACTAATTCTGTAGACTTTAAAAATGAGTATTATTTGTATTCTTTAAATGTCTGTATTCAAAGGAAGAGCAGTACTGTTGATCAATATAGCAACAATTTTATGCTTGTTGACTCTTAACTAACCTCTACAAAAATTGACTTCAATTTGAAAAACATGTATTTACAATCTATGCATCAAGATGAGGATTCAACTATACTTACCTCTTCATTAATGGTAAGTCTTTGAATTTCACCATTGGGTGGTGTAATTTTTTTATATCGTGGAGCCCTTATTCTAAAATAATGAGATTTTAATATTAAAGATCAGTTTTGGAGGCAAATGTCATCTTAATGCTTCTTCCCCATCCAATCAATACCCAGCTAGCACACAGAAACATACAAATACTTCCAGCATGATTCAAAAAGCTATTTTGAGCTTAAAAAAATTGAAATATTTTGCCTATCACTAGCAGATAATTCTGTCATTATTATCAATTCCTAATGATACATAAAGGATTGTGTCTTAAATATTTTAAATGCTATTAAATACCAACAAAATGAAAATAATTTGCCATTAAATCTTTTCAGAAATTTGTTTTAATGAGTTTTGAATGAAATTTATTTCCATTTGTTTCATAAACATAAAATGTTTATGATTTAATGTAATATAAGATATTGTTTAAACAACAGGCAAACATAAATTTCATGGGCCCAAAGCAGTTCAAGCAACCTGAATTTCTAGTTATTTCTGAATCTATCCTTTACTAGTACTTAGACATATACCACTTCACAATGCTTTACAACCCTAAAGCAGGGGTGAAATCTAAAATTTGTTACTACTGGTTCTGTGGGCGTGGCTTGGGGAGTAATGTGACTGGGTGGGCGTGGCCAACTTTTTTTTTTTTTACTTTTAAAAGCATTCTTTCTGCAACCTCGTCAGCTGAATGCTTTTAGAAGCCTCTGACAATCAGGCAACTCAGCTGGGATCATCAGAGGCTTTTAAAGGCATTTTTTCCCCTACAACCGTGATGGTGAACCTATGGCACGTGTGCAAGAGATGGCACCCAGCGCCTTCTCTGTGGGCACGTGAGCCATCGCCCCAGCTCAGCTCTGCATGCGTGTCTCCCACCTGCCAGCTGGTCTTCAGGTCTCTGCTGCGCATGCAGAAGGCATGCGCATCGTGGGGGCCACACATGCCTTGCATTTTGGGGGATTGGGCATGCGCGCTTTGGGCATAGTCAGGAAAAGGTTAGCCATCATTGCACTAAGATCTTCATTTGCAGCACACAGCTAATTTAATTACTGAGAACACTTTGGGGGTGGAGGTGCAAAATACATAGAACCAAAAACTAGTCAGCCAACCTGAGATTACTTAATAATCCATACTGAAACTCGCAGTTAGACTAATAGCAGATCCCCCCCACCTCCCCCACTGCACATTCTGCTGCCCTCCCATTTGTATTTGTAGACTGATACAAATCATTATTACTTTCACTGTTTTTTGTTTCATTGCTTTTACTGGAGTCATGGTGGCTCAGTGGATGGCAAATAAATAAATACGTACATACATAGCCACAAAAACGAACATAAAACCAAAGTTCCCTCTGACCAAGCTTGGAAACATTGCACAAAACTCAAGACACTAGACCTTTATTCAATCAATTTAAGAATATTTTACAAACCAAGCCTTACTGTCCACTCAGAAATAAACTTGATGTTTACTTATTAAGACCTGATGCAATGTATTGCAATACGGGTAATCCTCAATTTACAAACATAGCAGAGTCTGAAAGCCTCTGGAGCCTGGGGAGGGCGAAAAACGGGCTTACCGGGCCCACCGCTAACCTTTTTGCCATCGCATGTATGTGGGGGGGTCACAGGGGGCATTGAATTATGGGTTTGGGTACACGCCCACGCAACCCTCCAGCACGACCCCCACTTTTGGCACATGGCGGCAAAAAGGTTAGCCATCATTGCCCTACAACCTCTTCGGCCGAAGAGATTGCAGAAAAAAATGCTTTTAAAAGCCTCTGACGATCCCAGCTAAGCCACGCGATCATCAGAGGCTTTTTTTTTACTTTTAAAAGCATTTTTTTGGCTGAAGAGGTTGTAGAAAAAATGCTTTTAAAAGTAAAAAAATCAGCCTCTGATAATTGCGCGATTCAGCTGAGGTGGGGGGGAGCAGGGATTTTTGTTACCGGTTCTCTGAACCACCCATTGCCATCGCTACCGGATTGGGTGATCTGGTCTGAACCGGGAGCACTTCACCCTGCCCTAAAGCTTTACAGTCAGCATATTGCCCTCAGCATTCTGGGTCCTCATTTTACCGATCTCGAAAGGATACAGATAGACCTTGACTTACAACAGCAACTGGGACAAGGATTACCATGATTAAGCATTATGATTTTAGAGTATGATTTCAACATGATCATATTGCTTAGTGATGACAATCCCAGATTATTGGTTAGGAAGTAACAGCAGTCCAAGGTAAGAATAATGGTGTGGCACAGAAAAGGATGCCCTAGGATCACCAGTGCAGGCTGCATATGAGATGGGAGAAGGCTTGGGAGACCTTCTCCCAAGGCCATGTGCAAGTGAAGGAAAGCCTGGGGATGGATGGCACAGTGCAGTGTGACTATAGAAAGGCTAGTGGAGTGGATGGAGTGACAGGCAAAAGCATGGGAAGTCTGGGGGTTGATGGCATGACATTTCATTGCACAAATATAGGAAAGCCAGAGAGATTTATCAGTATGACTTGTAACCTTTTCTGCAAGCTTCCCCAATGACTTTCTTGTGGGAAGCCAAAAGGAAAGGTTGCAAATGGCAATTATGTACATAGCAACGATTGTAAGCACAAGCCAGATTCCAAACAACCAAATCATGATTATGTGACCAGGGGCACTGTGCCAGCTGGAATATCAAGACTGGGTTGTAAATACCACTTGTTCAGTGCCATCGCAACTTCAAACAGTTGCTGAACGAAGTGGTTAATAAAGTGAAGACTATCTATAAAGTGTAAAGTTTGGATTATTAGGTAGGATTTGTTGCTAAAGCACAAACACATAAAAATTATTCAGGAGTTGAGATGTTACATCTGAATGTTTACTTATAAGTCGAATACAGCATTTAATAATATTAGTCTCAAATGTCATAGAGTATTACCTCTCTTTAAAAATCTGAAGACCTCTGACTAGGCCTTCCAAACAAAGGAGATCATATCGATTAGCAGGAACATCAATTTTATACAGAATGGTTTCTGATGCACCCTCTGCTTTTCCATCACCTTTTTCTTTGCTTATTATGTCCTTCTCGGAAGTCTAAAATAAAAAAAAAGTATAAAGCATATTATTTTTTAATTATACACTGCCCAGAGTCATATTCCAAGTGTGGCCTCATCAATGCAGTATAAGGTGATACTATCACTTCCCTGATCTTGATGCTTTCTCTCTGTTGATGCAGTCTAGAACTATGTTGTCTTTTTTGGCAGGTGCAACACATTGCTGACTCATATTTAAGCAGTGATCCAATAGAACACCTAAATGCCTCTCACAGATACTTCTGTTGAACTATGTACTTCCTATTTTATATCTATGCCATTATATTTTCCTGGCTAAGTGCAGGACCTTATTTTTTACATCACAGAACAGCATCTTGTTAGATAGGGCCAATGCTCAAGTCTGTCAAGATCCTTCTGAATCTTGAGTCTATCTTCCAAAGTGTTGGCAATTCCTCCAAGCTTGGTGTTGTTTGCAAATTATCCCCTCACCTAGATCACTTATGAATATGTTGAAGAGCCCCAGCCCAAGACAGAACCTTGAGGTATCCCACTGCTTACTTCCCTCTATGTAGGTGTAGCTCCATTGAGGACTACACACAAATGCAGTTGATCAGTATTTTCCTGATCCACTAATTTAATCACTTTATAAAAAGAGATAATAAAGTTTGTCTGGCATAATCTGTTTTTAATAAACCCATGCTGGCTTCCAGTAATCACCTTATTCATTTCTAGATATGCAACAGATTATTGAAAAAGGAAATAATAGCATAATTAGAACCACTCTGTTTTCATTGTTAAATAAAGTTTTTTTTACAAAATAGAATCTTGAAGAATTAGGGAAAAATGCTTAATATGACTCTTGCATTACATCCAGGGGTGGGTTCTACTTACCTTTACTACCGGTTTGCAATGGGGCCGCGCATGCGCACTCTTCTGCACATGTGCAGAAGCGTTCTGATGACATCGGGGTTGGTGGGAGGAGCCTCCTGCCTGTTTTACTACCAGTTCTATAGACCCGGTGCAAACCGGGGGCAACCCACCACTGATTACACCTCACCCATCCCATCTACAGTAAGGCTGCAATAAATATAACAGTAAAAATACTTACAATTTCATCAAGTTCCAAACCAAATTCAAAACACAGTTCATCAAATTCTTCATCAGCTGCAAAAAAAAAAAAAAAAAGCGCTTTTACGATTGGTTATCTATTAAAGTGGAATTAATGCATCTTTTGGAAAAAGATAACTGATTTCATCTTAATATTTGGTTAAATATCATTCAGAAGGATTTCAAAGCAACAGGAAATGATGCAATTTCGATAAGCAACCAATGTAATATCCTTCCATTTTCATAGCTATGGTGGGCTAATGATCTTTATTAATCAATAAGTAAGGTTGTTTTTGTCTGGCTTCCTGCTGGAAAATAAAAGCACCCCCCCCACCCCCTTTACCCTTGTCACTTAACCTCTCTCCAACCTGGTACAGGCTGAATGTGCAGGAGTACAACTGCCAAGTCCACACCAGACACGGACTTGGTCGAAAGCAGCGGAGGCTGCAGTCCATCGTATTTTGGTAAGCACCAAATCAGGGCAAGATAATTTCGCCCCTGAGCTCAAAGAACTTTATGGAAGCTCCATTATGCTCCGAATTTACTAAGGTGCCCCTTTCTTACCCTTAACCGAGCTGCCCCACATCTAGTGCAAAATATCATCGCAATGATCTTTTTCCCCACCTCTTCTGACCAAAAGACACGCTCACTACAAGCCCCCAAAGCTTTTCCTTACTGTAGCTCCTTCCCAAGGCTTGAAAAAGCAGATCTCGCTTCACGTCGACAGTCGGCATGGCTCACTAGCAGTTCCTGCCAATTACTTTCCTTCGCGGCGCATGCGCTAGGTTTGCTGTCACTAAAAAAGGCCCCAGGACTTCAACTCTCTGACGTTAAGGACTAGTGCCTAAATTTCTGCCCGATCCAAATTCTGCTTTTTTTTTTTTTTTTGCTACCTCTTCGTTCGAAAGTATTAAAAAAGTATAAAGTCCGTCAAAATCCTGTGTTCTTAAAGTGGTGAATAACCCGGCAGAGAGAAACTCGTATCAAGTTTGTTTTGCGTTGATCAGGGTTTGCTGCGGACAGCTAACCATTCCACTTTATCAGCCGGAAAAAAAGGGAGACGTTTTGGTTTCTAGATTTACGAACAGTAAATGGTGTAGAACGGGCTTCGCCCTGGCACCGTGTGTCAACTTGATAACAAGAAACAACGTGTAAATTACTTCTTGCATGTAAATTAATGCAATCTAACATGTTGGCGTTAAATTGAATACTGGCTCTGAGATAGGCAGGTACAGAGGTGTAAATCAATTTAAATAGAATGGTTGGATTTTTGTTTTGATTTTTTTGCAATTTCAAATGGGTTTATGAATGGGATTGTGTTTATTTAATTTATACTCCTATTTGCTTTCAGCATACAGTAAAATCGTACCTGATAATTTTATAGCAGTGTTTTTCAAACTGGCAACTTTGAGACGTGTGGACTTCAACTGTAGAATTCCCAGCCAGCAGAATTTCGAGGATTGAAGTTCACATATCTTAAAAGTATGAGATATGCAGCCCCGTGTTGTTCAGTAAATTTGGTTTCAGAGAAGCGGAATTGCTGCCTTAGAATCTAGGTGCACTTATTGATTCACGTGTATTACTGCTCGGGTTTGCATATTACATAAACTCATGATATTGTTAGGCAGTTTGTTAAGAAAGTCTTATTTAGATACATTCAGGTATCGGAGTCTCAAAAGGATTTACAAGGCTTGGATGTAAATCTCTCTAGCACTTCTTTTTTTAATTATTCAGGAATCTCAGAGTATATACAGTATGGGCAGAGAAAAAAATGTACAGGATGTTTTGGGAGCAGAAGGTTTGTTTGCAATCAAACTGATTTTATTTAGTGATGGCATGTGCACTCTAAGCTGTAAATTCTGCTTTACAAAGCACAATAGTGCTTTGTAGAGACATAATAGACATAATAGAGGTGAAAACTGTCATACAGAAAAATGGATACATTTATTCAAAGTTATTCCAAAAGCAGGACAAAAAAAACAATTGGATAAAATTACAAAGAAGTAAAATGTAGTTGGGCATAGGAAAAAATTCTTAACAGTGTGGACTGTTCAACTATGGAACAATCTGCCTTGGGAATTTATTTGTTAGATTTATTACCTTTATTAGAGAGATTAAACATTTCTCAGATAATTCAGTTCATTAACATGTTCAAGATATAATATTAATAATATACTGGAGAAAATCTATCCATCTACTTGCTAAGAGTTGACCCTGACTTGGCATATGACTAAAATTTGAAAACACACATAGAAAAGAACATAAATGATTACCCAAAGATAATAAACAATAAATAAATATATGCAGCAATTACATTTTAAGTGTTTTTTCCTAAATAACTTGGTTGTGAGTATTAAAAAATGCTACTAAATTTCCCTCATACTTCAAGGGAAAGGGTAGCCTACTGTACAGCACAGTAGCAGAGAAGTAGCATGTGTAAGTCTTCTTCATGAAGATGGGAGACAAGCAACAGATTCTGCCAGGACATCTTTATGGTTCTAGACCAGTTGAACAAGTCTTGAATATACATTGGATATACCTTGGAAACAAGATTTGTAGGACTTATATAATATTTATTTATTAAATCGTGTAACAATAATATTAAGCTCATAAGATATTGGCATAATTACATTTTTTTCATGGAAAACTTTTTTTTTTTTTTTTACAAAAATAAGACTGAAAAAAGTGAGACTGTTTTAAAATTCTGAAAATATTATGTGTAGTTATGGGTGCCAGTGATGGGCAGCATATACAATGATAGTTACCATCACTGGTTACCCCTAGGTTTGCTTATGTAACACTTCTGTTATGCAAGCTTCACTGGCTAGTTTCTTTCCACGTGCAAATTCAAGGTGCTGGTCATCACCATTAAAGCTCTAAATGGTACAGATTACCTGTGCGACTGCCTTTCCCTAAGAACATCTACGCTACCAGTTTATAATAAAATGAGCACACTCCTAGTCCCTTCTCTTAAGCATTGCCATCTTATGGGATCTAAGAAGTGTACCTTTTCCATGGCAACCCTTGCCCTATGGAACACTTTCCCCCCTGAAGTTCTGCAAAGTCTCTAACCCTCCTAGCCTTCTGTAAAATACTGAAGACTTGGCTTTCCTCCCCAAGTGCTGGGATAGGATGAGATGACTGCATATAGAAATCTTGATTTGGTACCAGGTTTTTATGTTCAATATGTTTAGTTTTATAGTTTTAATATGATTTTTATGTTGATTTAATTTTTGATTGGGAGCCACCCAGAGTTTGTTATAAGGCTATACAAGACCCCCAGGACCAGACTTTAAGGAACACTGGTCTAAATAGTAGGTCTTCAGATAGATTCCATCAATGGAATCAATGGAATCAATTTCAGGGGCCACAAATTATGAATCTTTTTTAAACAAAAGCAAACAAATTGCTTTATATCTTAGTACAGTGTGTGATTCCAGCCATTGGGTAAATGAGCAAAGGCTTCAAATAAATGAAAATTTAAAATGAATCACTTTTTCTCTTGTCTCCATTATGGGCATTAATAGGGGTCATAAGCATATCTTGCATAATGGTTAAGCAATATCTTTGCTTCTTCAGGATTAATTTAATACCAACTCAAAGCCCTTTGTCTGAATTCACCAGACCACTGTTGCTTGAACGTCTGGCTTGCAGTTCATTTGTCTTTGTTTTTGTGCTACAGGTCATCATTCAAAACAAACAGGCAACTATAAGCAGTTGTTCCCATATTAATCATCTGTACAGATCAAGGGCATAGTGTCATACATAAAGAAGAACGGAACTTTAAGGAACGTTAACTCAAAGCCCAGGAAAACAGGTGACAGAATAAGGTCTCCTATTAGGTTTCTGAATATGGATACAACCTTGAAGAATGGCATTTCTAAGTTTAATGCAGCTAATACAGCAAAGTAAAGAATGAAGTGTTGTGAAGAATTAGTGAAGAGGGATTTTGTAACATGTTGCACCAAGTTTCCCCAAACCAGTACTCTCTCCAGTGTTGTTGAACTTTGATTCTTAAAATTCCCAGCTAAAATACCAGATTGGAGAACAATGTCTTATACTATTCAGTAAAGTATAAGAAGCTAAAGCCACAGCAACTGAGAAATGTTCCCAGTATAATCTATTTAGTGTAAAAAAAAAATTAGTACACACAAACACTCATGTAAATTGTATCAAAAGTGGCTAACTTGCTTTGATGAAATAATTTTGAGTGGAGGATAGCCTATTTATTCATATCCTATCTGCCAGAATATAATATTTGAGCTACAGCATTTAGATATTAGATTTGCTCAGACAAATGATCACAGCCCGCAGTCTGGCTTCTAGAAATTACAACCAGTTGATACTTAATGCACATCCTGCTGTTTGAAATACTACATGGATAGAAATAAGAGTACTGACTGATACCCATTTCCTTCTAAACTGCTGTTACATACAGTGTGTTGAAAGCGTAAAACATACAGTACATGTCTGTATTCATTCCGAAAACAGCTAAAACAAATCAAAATAATTTATTTAAAAACTTTGAAAATATAATATGTGACTTTATATCCTGTTATCAAGAAATAAAAAGCATTAAATTTTGGGACCAACATATAAGATACAATAGTAATTTTACCATGGATTTTATTATTACAAAACAGTTGGTTGATTGATTGATACATATACAGAATCATAATCTATGTGTAGACAACTACTGTACAATAGTTTCTATTGTGAGTCAGTGTGGAATAATGGTTAAGGGATCAGACTAGAAACTGGGAGACCGGGAGTTCTAGTCCTATTTTAGCCACAAAGCCAGCTGGTGACCTTGGGCCGATCTCTGTTAACCCTGGGAAAGAGGTAACTGCAAACAACATCTAAAAACCTTGCCAAGAAAACTGCAGAGACTTGTCCAGGCAGTTATCAGAGTAAAAGACTGACTATTGGGCAACAACAACAATAGAAGATTCAATTACACCTGCACTTAGGTGAGTACTAGTCCATTTCTGAAAGATTTCTTTTGGAAGGATTTTTAAAGAAATCTGCAAAATACAAAAAATTGCCATTAATTTATTACAGAAGTTATCCCAAAATATAAACTTTTCTAAAAAAAGAGAAGGAGGAAAATCAAATCAAACTGAATGTTATTAATTATGGCCTGACATCCGCACACTTAAAACGATTCTTTAAAAACAAAACATCCGAAGCTATGTGTCTAAAAATTAAGATATAAAATCAATGAATAAGAACACTAATGATGATCCTCACTTTTATACTGTAGAAGTCATCATTTGCTGATATCTGAAGGCTAAAGTAACAACTTTGGCACCATTGTATATAAAATAGCAATCCTCATTAACTAAAACCTACATCAAAATCTTAAATCTAATCAGAATTCCAGCTGAAAGAGGAAAAAATTAGCTTGTGCCGCAAATCCAGATAAAATCTCCTCCATGCCATGTGGCACAAAGAAATGCACTGCAGGAATTTGAGTACTGTATATCTGCCCTGCAAATATACAGTTGAAAGCAGTTAATATGCTGTATGTCTTTATAAATGCCAAACGATTGAGTCAGTGTATAAAGAGAAAGGATTAATGTTCTTTGGAAAAACATCTGAAGATTTTCAAAACCTAATATTAAATTATTCTTGTGTGTCTAAAAGTTGCTCTTTGCTCTTGAATAATTCTTCCCTCCTGGATAATTTTTTTACTCTTGGATAATCTCTTCCTTATGTCTTAAGGCCTAAGTGTGTAACATACTTTATTTTTTATAGTACTGAGTAAGTTAAGAAGCCTATCATTTGATGGATCTACTGCCTTTCTTGTAGATTGGACTAAAATGCATTATCCCCTTGGTTTGGGGGTATAAAGGCTATCCTATGTATAAATAAGAGTAACACAGCCAAAATTGGTAGCAACCAGTAAGAAGGCTTTTTTTCCCCATAGCTTCAAGGGGTGGGATTGGAATTGACATCAATAATTTCTAAACATTTGACAAATTTTAATTCTTCAAGAAACATCCATTTCCAGGAAAAATTAGTGTTGATCTTTGCAGAAAAGTAATAAGTCCTTTCTCAATGTGGGGCAGAAGAAAACATTCAATCCTTTGATTGTATCCTTCAAATGAAAGTCAGCTAGTCCAATGGAGTATGTAGATTGGATTGGATTAATACAATGCATGAACCCAATCATCACACAGGTTTATCGTTCAATGTGCTATTCATGATGGTTATTCCAATGACTGGTAAGTGTAATATTTGAACCAAGGCTGGGAAAAGCCATTCCTGAATTATTGGAAAGGATTAATATTTGTAGAAGACAGAAAACGTTTGTTTTTGTTAGTCAGAGGCAAAACTGAAATATAACAAAAAAGATATCTGAGATTATTTTTCCCTAATTAGTGTATGGAGTGGACTATAACTCCAAGCAATAGTCACTCCCAGTCACTGGAATTCAACCCAGGTGGAAAACACAAGGTTCAGAAGGCTTGTCTAGACATTCCCTGGACTTCTGAGCTGCCAGATACAGATGATTTACTCCTTATTCATTTGACTTCTTTCTGCTTTTCTAACACAGAGACAACACTACTGCCAATAATTTTTCTCACAAACCAGTTCTAGTGAGGCTACACATTAGAAACCAGAAGACTGGGAGTTCTAGTACCATTTTAGGCATGAAAAACTGGAAGTATTACTTTGGGCCTGTCATCCTCTCTCAGCTCAGCTCACCTCCCAGGGTTGTTGTTGTGGGGAAAATAGGAGGAGGAAGGAGAATTAGGTATGTTCACAACCTTGAGTTATTTAAAGAGTAATAAGGGCAGGATTTTAAAAATCTTCTGTGCCCAAGTTTGTTATCAGTTGGGTTATTAGTTTAGGTTTAATTAATCCTTTTAAGAAAGGTCTTTGATTGAACTCTGAATCATGAGTTTGTGTAATAATTTTGTGTAATAGCTCATTAAAAAGAACACATGAAAATTAGAGATGATTATGGATTTGCTTGAGGCTTAAAAGTTTTGAACAGATTAGCTTCACAATTGCAGTTATGACAGGAGTTTTCTGAATTGCCTCAATTGGCATAGTTAGCTCATACTTAATATGTTTTGCATATTTTGTGATAATCTTCATGTTAAGCAACGTGAAATCCTTTTTCAAGAGGTGAAAGGAAGGCAATTTTAACAAGCCATGCCATTGTGCCAAACCACTGTATTGAATCATCAATCAAAGCAGGATGTATCTCATTCAAATACATTACATATTTCTTGCCTTTTGGAAGATAATTTAAACAGAATTGCAAGATTCTTTTAATGTAACAGAGTTTGTGATCAAATGGAAAGCAAAACAAAGCAAATTAATCTGTGTTTATGCCAATATCATTTGCTACTCTTCTCCATACAATTCCAGCTTTGCAAACTCTACTTGCTTCTCGAGGGTCCAGATTATTTCATAATAGCTTTATAATTATGAGAATTATAACTAGATTCTCCTTATCATTTTTCATCATAAGAAAAGTCTAATTTGGGGTAAAAGAATGCCTTGTCATCTATTGCTACTATTAGGTATAAACTATTCTCTCTGTCTAAAAGGTAAATGTAAAGGTTCCCCTCACACATATGTGCTAATTGTTCCCAACTCTAGGGGGCGGTGCTCATCTTCGTTTCAAAGCCGAAGAGTCAGGGCTGTCCGAAGATGTCTCCGTGGTCATGTGGCTGGCATGACTAAACACCAAAGGCGCATGGAATGCTGTTACCTTCCCACCAAAGGTGGTCCCTATTTTTCTACTTGCATTTTTTACGTGCTTTCGAACTGCTAGGTTGGCAGAAGCTGGGACAAGTAATGGGAGCTCATCCCATTACGTGGCGCTAGGGATTCGAACTGCTGAACTGCCGACCTTTCAATTGACAAACTCAGCGTCCTAGCCACTGAGCCACTGGGTCCGTCTGTCTACTCTATCTCTATTCTATAAGATGTTTTAAGTACATATTGTGAAAACAAATACATATTGCTGATCATCCCCAGATTTATCTTGGGATCCTGATCTACTTCTTGTTCATTTCTACGTTAAAGGAAATGCTTAAGCTAGAATCTTTTTGGATCAGGCTAAGCAAGTTTATATATGACTATGGCTGAGTTTATACAACCCCATTGAATATAGCCAGATTTATTTCAGGGTAAGAGTTCTCTGATTTGCAACCTTACACAGATGTTGGACTTTATACACTCTTTGCTGATGGTACATAGTTTAGAATTCACAAATGTAGTAATTTCCTATATTGGGAAGAATGTTTGTGATTATTATTTCTAAATGTGCTATTGGCCAACTGCAGCCTTATAGACTTTTCACATCTCATGGGCATTGCTTTTGATTTCCAAATGTATTGCATTGTTTAATGTAATTTTCTATTTTAAAAAAGGTGGGTAAAGAGGCAACCAGCTACAAAATTTGGTCTGATTTTCTCAACAGCACTTTCTCTCTGTCTGCATCTTTTAAATGCATCTTTGATAATGTATAAATATATTTAACAATAATTTTGTGAAACAAATTAACTGAAGATTCCATCATGAACCCAAGCTGATAAATTAATACAGATGTTTTTATTTATTTATTTAATTTATTTGTTGCCCATCTCATAGGAAATGAGTCTCATATAGCAATGGTTTTCTAAAACAATTTACTGAATAATCACATTTGATGGAATGAATGAATTCCATCAGATGTGATTATTCAGTAAATTATGTTTTAGAAAATCATTATATTTTAGAAAACCACCATTTACAAGATCTAAGATACAAACACAACAAACAATTAACAAACAAACAATATTTTGATTTAATTTGGCAGTTAAGGTTTATAGCAGATGATTGTTGCCTGATGATGGAGAACAACATGTTTGCAGAACATATTATTGATATTTAGAACTGTTCTTGTTATTATGGGCATATATGCATGTCATTTAAAACTAAAATATATGTCTAAAGTGATCATCTATCTCTTGTATATTTCTGTATCACTGGTCCCTGTTTATTTTACATGGGCAGCTGGAATGTCCTTCACGTTTTGGGTGACCCCTTTGGAATTATATACTCTTGGGATCCAGTCCGAGCATTTTTTCCTCATTGCTCCCCAGCACACTCTCCTGATGAGGTAGAATATCAGGACTTGAGGGAAAAGTCATGATTTCATCCATCTAAACAAATCAGAATTATAAATGATGTGAAAATGCCATCTAAACAACAACAATGCCATCTATTTTATTATGATTTAGCTTTATCCTTTATTATCTTTATAACAAAGAATCCATCCACATGTAATTTTTAAAAAGCCCAAACTGCATATTGAAGAATAAATGTGAATTTTAGATATACATAATGCATTTATTGGTATCCTTATGGTTGCAAATTTGAGCAATTGTTATTGCCTTCTACCCTTTTACCCATTATTGCTGAACTGAGTATACTTCAGTTTCACTTTCAACTTTACCCTAGTTTAATTCTTGGAAAATTTCATCTCCATACAATTGTTTTGGCAGACATTTTTCTTTCTCCCATGCCTGCATAAATTATTCTAGCCAAGTATGGATTATAGACTGCATGTACTGAATGTGATGTTATTATAGCAGACAGTCAATAACTGTTAAGGGCAAATAGAGGAAAGAATGTGAGTCAATGCTAGCACACATGCTTTGCAATACAGCAGGTCACAGATATGGTCCCTGTAGTCTCTAGATGGGCTCAGAAAGAATTATGTATGAAACCCTGAAGAACAGCTGCTACCTTGGTAGTAGTGTAGAGATACATACTGATAGTCCTCTGGTTATGATGGCAATTGAGATCAGGATTTCCATCACCAAGTGATGCAATCATATATTTGGGCATTTGCTGAATAAATGAATTTAATGTGAGGACTACCTGAATGAAGATCATTCACGGTATAATGCAAAGAATAATGCTTCCAAAACTGTATTAATAGGAATGATCAGTATAATCAACTAAGGATCATTGTAACTGTTAATCGTACAGTACTTGAAATTATTTCAAAATTCCTATGATTTGCTATGATTAGTGGCAATATTACTGGCTTTAACAGTTCTAGATAATACATTGTTAGTTAAAGTAATATATTAATATAAAAGTATATTTTTGATAAATGGAAGACTAGAAGCAATAAACTATTTTGAAACAAGTGTGTGCATATAGCTCTCAAAGGGCCTCAACATCTAATATATACCACTGTACATAGTACTTCTTATGGAAAAATTGGCTAAATGAAAATTGGAAGAAAAAATTATATGATATCATTTCCATGTGAAATGATGTTTATACTAGCAGCCATGAACTAATTAAAAGTATAGTATTCAGTTCAGTCCGAGATAAAAGATGTTGGGTGCTTGCCATTGTAGACTTCTTTTTACTATGGAAATAAAGTAGCATGCTGCAATATAATATAAACCAAGACAGGAATAAGGCTTAATTAAATACCTTAGTGAAGTATTATCTCATTATACTTAGTATGAATGGAAGTAGCAGCTGTTCATGATATGGCATTATCAGATTTAATAAAGAAAGGTCAACATTGTAGTTTGTTACTATGGAAACAGAGGGAGTGAATTGTCATTTGGAAAATGAGGTGATGAACATTGTTATGGACATTGTATATTTTTCAAAGGAACTTAAATACTGAACATAAAATTGTCATATTAAAGCAGATTGTTTTCCTGAAATGAATGCAAGTTATCTAAAGCCTGCTGACCACTTCATTCACTAAGGTAGTTAATAAAAATGAAATGGATCTAATATTATAGATTTGATCCAGTATTAGAAAAGAATTCTTAATATTTATACCATTATTCATTTCAGTTATAAGAAAATAAAGCAAAAATGACATTTTGTTGCATTCCAAATCCCACCAATTGCAGCCAACATAACCAGTGATTTTAAAAGATGAGAGCTTTAGCTCAATGTTTGTATGGGCCCAACTACTATAGCAATATAATACCCTGAATGCAAGAAGAGACAGGTGCTAGTTACCCAACATCATAAAAACTTACAGGTGACTTTGTTCCAGTGACACACACTCAGCCCAACTTAACTCATAGGTGTTTGTTGTGGGTAAAAAATAAGAGGGAATAATATGCACATAGAACATAGAATAACAGAGTTGGAAGGCACTTCTAGCCCAACCTCCTGCTCAAACAGGAGACACTCTACCAGAGCTGTCAAACTCACGGCTTGTGTGCTGGATGCATCACGCGCTGGCCATGCCCACGCCTGATTTAGCAAAGGGGGAGAAAGTCCTGATACATCACATGACACCATCGTGACATGAGTTTGACACCCCTGCCCTATACCATTCTGGACAAATGGTTCTCCAATCTCTTCATGAAAACCTCCAGTGATGAAGCACCCACAACTTCTGGAGGCAAGCCATTCTATTGATTGATTGATTGATTGATTGATTGATTGATCTCACTGTCAGGAAACTTCTCTTTAGTTCTAGGTTGGATCTTTCTTAAATGATCTCAGATCAATTACTTGTTATCCTGCCCTCATGTGTTTTGAAGAATAGGTCCACCCCATCTTCTCTGTGACAGTTCCTTAATATTGGAAGACAGCTATCAGATCACCCCACTCCTTCTCTTTGTTATACTACACATAACTAATGCCCACACCCATTCATTGTATGATTTAGCTTTCAGACTCCTTATCACTTTTGGTGCTACTCTCTGTACTCTTTCTAGAATCTCAACATCTTTTGTGTATTGTGGTGACCAGAACTGGATGCAGTATTCCAAGTGTAGTCTTACTATAAAGCAGAACTAATACTTCATACGATCTTGATACTATCCTTCTGTTGATGTAGCCTAGGACTGCATTGGCTTGTTTGGCAGCTGCAGCATACTGCTGGCTCATACTTAAGTACAGGACCTTATTTTTCTCATCACTGAACTACTACTTATTAGATAGGGCCCAATGCTCAAGTCTGCCAAAATCCTTCTGAATCTTGAGTTTATCTTTCAAAGTGTTGGCTATTTCCCCCCAGCTTACCGTTGTCTGCAAATTTGATGAGTTCCCTTCTGTCCCCTCATATAAATTTTTTATGAAGCTGATGAAGAGTACTGGGCCTAAGACAGAACCTTGAATCACCCCTTTACATACTTCCTCCATTTAGATGAAGTTCCATTGAAGTTGGTGAGCCACTTGTGAATCCATCTAGTGGTGATGCTATCTATCCCACATTGTTCTATATTACCAAGAAGTAGGCTATTGTCTGTTTTTAAAAATGCTTTCCTGAAGTCTAAGTAAATTATATCCACAGTATTTCCCTGTTCCACTAATATAGTCACTTTATCAAAGAAAACAATAAGGTTTGTCTGGTGTGATCTGTTTTTAACAAATCCATATTGATTTCTATAATAGCTTTGCTAAAGACTAGGTGCTTGCAAATTCATTGCTAAATTATCTTTTGCAGAATTTCCCCAGGTATTGATATCAAGCTGATTGGTCTGTAATTTCCTGGGTCCATTTTTTCCCTTTTTGAAGTTTTGAGCCACATCAGCTCTTTTCCAGTCACCTGGTATTTCCCCAAGGCTTCAGGAACTTTGAAAGATTTTGTTCAGTGGTTCTGAGATCATGTCTGCTAGCTCCTTCAAAATACAGAAGTAATGGAAAATAATCTGTCTTCTCCTGGCAATTTGAACTTGTACAGAGTGGATAGTGTTCTCTTATCATTTTCTTGCCTATTTTGATTTATATTCTTATTCTGTCTTCTACCATACTGTTTTTGATAGGTTAGACTATTTTTTTCCTTTTGAGTAAAGACAGAATGAATGAATGAATGAAGCAGTTCCACTTTCTCCCCATATCCCCATTCCTATTTGCTATCTTCTCCCATTAGTGGACTGATCATTTCCTTGACATTTTTCTTGTTTTTCATATGTTGAAAGAAACATTTTAAAAATTATTTTTGGAATTTTGGCCTGCCACTCTGAAGCACCATTTTAGCTGCAAAGTGCTGGGCAAGGCCTGCACAAACCAAAACGGAGCTCCTTTTGGCCAGCAAACTGCCAGGCAAGACCTGTGCACAACAAAACAGCTGTGGAGGGGCACATGCAGCTGAGAGGCTGGAGAGGAGACAGCTTGCTAGATCTTTGTATGGTAAGTTACCTGGCGTGGCAGGTTGTGGGGGGGGGGGGGCAATTATTGGGGGCATGAGGTATTTCAGTAGGTCGGGGAGGTCCTGGATGGTCTTAAACAGGTGGTCTTTTCCATCACTAGGTCCCCATGGCCTTCCCTACCTTGAAATACCTCATGTGCAGTTAACGAATCACACATTTATTAGCGAATGTGTGGGCGAAAGGAGAGAGTGATCACGTTCAAGGTACGAGATTCACTTCCACAAATCCTTGGGCGACGAATGGAATGGGCAGGTTTCATTCCACTCATAACTCAAGGACTACTTGTATTTTGTTCCTATTAATAAGAACTATGTCCAGTACAGCTGACCCTCTGGTTCCTTCCCCTACCTTTTGGATGACAAAGTTATCTCCTAGATTCATCAGGAACCTGCTTTATATTCCACTTGGTGTAGAGTTCGTCTCCCAATTGATGTCAGGGTAGTTGAATCAGGGTAGTTAAATTTTGATCTTCTAAATGAAAGTGGAATATAAATCAAGCAAGTAGCAATGGCAATAGTAATAGCACTTATATACTGGTTCATAGTGCTTTACAGCACTTTCTGAGTGATTTACAGTGTCAGCATATTGCCTCCAACAATGGGTCCTCAATTTACCAACTCGGAAGGATGGAAAGCTGAATCAACCTCAAGCCGGTCAGGATCAAACTCCTGGCTGTGGGCAGAGTTAGTCTGCAATACTACATTCTAACCACTGTGCAACTATGGCTCTTAAATAATGTAAATAATGAAATCCCCAGCAGCCAAAGTTTTTTCTAAGGTATTCATGAGATTTAATTGGGACAGAGGAAAAGTTGTGTATCATAGATACCAATTAATTTACTAAAGTATAAACCTGCTATCATTTCAGACAGACATGTTTTTAATTTTATTTTTACTAGAATAGAAAGTGATAGTATGGCTGAAAATAAATAATCTCTTTATTTAGTCAAGCCTAGCTAGGTGAGCAGAGAGTAGCTTAATATCTGCAATTTGCTTTGAACTTTACTGTATTTTCACCTTTTCTTTGAAGAGTGTCTGCCCCATTTTTTGTTTGTTTATTTATTAGACTTATATGGCTTTTCATCTCACCAAAGATGACTCTGGGCAGCATACAATAATACAATAAACCAATGCATATATTTTTAAAAAGTCATATAAATATATAAACGTCAGGGCTAAAAGAGCTGGTTCAACTA